GTTATCTGATGTATTCTTTATGACTTTTTTGATAGAAAGTCCCGGTGCAACACTGTATTGGCAAATTAAACAGATATTTTATCTAAACAATACTACGTTATAAATCTGGATTGCAGTCTTCTGGGACTCACAAAATACCTAACTTTATTGGAAATTACTTGATGGAAGAAGACTTAGATTTTCTTTCCTGTATCGGGTGTACTTAATACCTGCACCAAAATGAAACTCCAGAAATTGATTTATATATAATTACCAAATTTAACAAAAAGAAAAAAATAAGGAAGCCCTTCAGTGCCATGCCTGTCGTGTATAACTCGTACAAAATGATTTCATGTGGTATTATCCAGAAAATTGATAGATTGGTGTGCAACTAACGTGTTCTAAGGATTCAGGGATATTAGAATCATCTGTCTTTGTTATTTGCCTGGATAGTTTCCACTGAAGTTCAACCAGATGAAAATGAAATACTGAGTACATGTAAGTAACATTTGCTGTTGTCTAGATCTGCAATTATAATCAGTGTTTGCGATAATCTGCGTATCAAATACACCAATGAACCTTACTGTTTTTGTCACTGGAGTTCAAATTATGAACTAAACAAACAAACAAAAACATTTGAAATTAATTTTAAGTTCAAGTTGCAAGCAAACACAGTTTGTAGTGTACCAGTATGCCTTCTTTTTTAAAAGCCATGCAATCATCATCATCATTAAAAATCCTGGAAAAAGCATCTTTGCCTCTACACCTTCATCCTGTGAATGTGTACAATGGGCAAAAACAAGAACAAAACCTGCTTTAAAATTGCCATAAATTTGGTGCTATAATTATATATTTAACAAAGGGAAGAGTAAATTTAGTAGTAGCTGCACGTTTGATTTTGGCAGAAGTGGATTCGTTGCCAATATTTAGACTGACCTTCACATTTATGTGCCACTCGGCCTCTGACTAATGGATGATTATTATATTGCTTCTTTGGCAATGGCACATGATTATGACCTAAAGTAGGGGGTTTATTTAATCATCATTACCTTTGTTGCCAAGTTCAATAAGCATCTATCTTCATAAAGGTTCCACTCTCCAAACTAATACAGTCCATACAGTGTACATTATATGTGCAGAATGCAAACTGGATCTGGTGGAGGCTACAGGATTTTTAAGAAGTTACTACCAGAAAGAACTATTTTTATGGTAATAAATGTTTGATGAACTTGTATGCAGGTTCTCCAGACAAAAGTGAACATTAGAAACACCAATCGCTATTAATTAATTCACCATTTTTTTTATTTTGTTCATTAGTGTATTGAAAATGATGGAAGTATACTTTATCAAAATAAATAAATAAATAAATAAATAAATTGAAAAGTAAAATAATAATAATGATGATAATTAGCATATAATTAAACAAAAATAAAAAAAATCCTCTCTCTGGTTCTGTTGTGATGTAACTTTACTGCTGCTACTGATATTGTCAGTTATATTTTGAGTAATCGGTACCACACAATTTAAAAGGTGGGTTGTTTTACAAGTTGTTTTAATATCTTAACTTAATACAGGACCCCCACTGCCACAAGTAAATTAACTTCACCCCACTATGATGGTACATAATTACTACTACTAACAAAGCACTTTTTCAGTGATTATTCTACAAATTTGTTCAGTGTATTTTTTCCTTTCCTTTCCATTCTTTTTTCTTTTTTTTTTCTTTTGAAAAGCAAAAAGCAGTGATATTTTCTTGGTTCAGTGAACTCAGCTGAGAAGTGCTTCAATTTTTCCTGTCATTTCCGATTACTCTAAGAATTGCACTATTCTGGCTGTAGTGATTGATCGGTGCCCAGAATTAGCAGCTCTATACTATCTAGTCCGTGCTGCAGCCTACATTGTTACTGCGTTGCCCTTGCTGTAATTGATATCGATGTCATTAAACCGGATCCTGGTTCCTAACACCATCAATGAACAAAGATCGCAAGCGGCATCATAACAAGCTAGTGTACCACACCATGTCAGTCTAAATTCATTTTCATCAATACTCAAGTCGATGGATGAAAGTCTCAAGTCCACTGAGCACAAACCCCTTTCCCCTTCCGCCTGTTCTTTTCCTGGAATGCTAAATGGCCTATTATGGTTAGAATCAATAAGAGACCAGGCCGTTTTCAATATGGCAATTATTCGCTCATGCTCTGTTGAACAGACTTGCTCAGTCTGTGAAAACAATGGTGTTTGGTCTGGGTAACACGGCCAAATAAACATCACTTCCTGAGGAATGTTTGTTGTATTCACGGCCAGCTCTTCGTAGAGAAAGGACTTGCTTGTGCTTTGTTTTAAAGCCTTTTGTGAGTGCATAATTGGCTTGTTGCTAAAGCGAGGATAGCAAAGGCTTAAGACAGTGCACTTTGAATAACTGATCTCATTGTGATAACTTGTACAGTTACTTTTATTGGCACATAAGAGTGGACACTTTGAAAGGTAAACTTACTTATTAGTAATTCATCATTAACACCAGAAAGTATTGGTGAAATAGGTATTCTATTATCTCTTGTGCAATGATGTTAAAAAGTAAATTGTTTCTGTTGAGGAAGGGTCAGTGCCATGCCTCAAGAGATAAAAAACGCTTAGCCTCTTTGGTAATTATTAACTTTTTTGTCAATATAATGTTAGGAGGATGAAGTTCTCTTTGTTTTAAATTTTAAGACTCCTTTAACTAGATATCAACAGCAAATAAGGATAATGTTGATAAGGTTATAGGTTAGCCTGTGAACATTGATTTGGAATCCTGGCATGGTCGAGACATCAGAAAATCTTGGCTCGTCACTGGTCCTTTTCAGGGCCCTTTCCATCATGAGTGCTATATATTAGCAATACTGATCATTGACAATGTGCTTTGAGATGCCATAATTTGTAATTATGTAATATTTTGAAAATACATAATTGCCATTTAGCTATCATACTTGAATGTAATCAAAGTAATTAACTGTAATTACATTGATGAGTTTATAAACCACTTGTTTAGTTAGTTTGTATGTTTGCTTGCTTATATATAGAGAATGGACACAGATTAGTTGTGCTTGAGAACAGTATTTCATGAATAATTTAGTTTGATAAAAGAATAAATCAATTAGTACCATATGGTTATTTAAGAGATAACTGAAGTGACATGGCATTACCATTGATGCTAATTTAGAAATAATTTAATTTTATAGACTTCATCAAAGGCTTGAATAGGAGATGTATATCATGTACAAATCTCAAGTGTAAAAAGAAAATTCAGCCCCAAAAGTGGATCTTTTACCATAAAATATTCATTTAAGCCCCCTTTATACTGGACAGTGTCCTTTCTGCGTCCCGCAGTATGGCCCTGTTTTAGAGTAAAATAAAATATAATATATCATGTGCTGACTGCTGGCGGTTCTTAAGCATTCATTCTGCAACCAGAGAGATGCTTGTGCCTGCTTTCTACATGTACGACTGCAGCGATGCCAGTTTCATGGTCGCACAAAGAACGCAGAAAGGATCCAGTGTAAGGGGGCCTTTACCTAGATCAAATTTGACCCAGACACAGAAAAAAGGGATAGTTCATTCCTTCCCCCTCTACAAGCTTAAAATTGAAAATTATTGTAGCTTTTCTCAGACACTGTCACTGTCTGAAGGAGATCAGTTAAACCTGTCCCTGTCGCCAGACCACAGTGTCTCTTAATGATAAGAGAGGCACATTTTTGAGACCCAAATAATTTCTTGACCATGGGCTAGAAAGGAAACTGCACACTAATTAGGGATATGCCATCATCATGTGAGAGGAGAGATATGGCGTTCCCCTTCCTCGGTTTTTACATTTTGTGATTTTCAGTCTGAAAAACAGGAAAATGTACTTACATGTGAATTTTGGAATCTGGAATTTTGCTCAATGTTTTAATCCTTAATTGTTCTTTCAGTGACCATTATTTTAAGGTAATGAAAACGCTTCTGTTTTCTCATTTGCATGCACTTTTTCCATGTAAATCTCCTTGTCCGAGTTTCAGAGACAATGTATCATATACAGATTTTAAAAAGAATAAGCTGTTAGCCCATTGGAATCCAGCTTCATGGTATTACCCTCTCAAAACAATTGCCTTTATCAGGCTTGCAGGTGTATGTGTGTGAGGGGGGTGGGGGGTTCGAAAGAATTGCCCTTCGGCCAGCAAATGTCAAGTGTGAATCAAAATTTGATCAACATATAGGAATATAGCTAGGTTATATGTCTTTTATCATATTAGGTCATAGCAGGGGGTAAAAAGGGTCTTATTAAAAAACAATAAAAGTAAAATAAAATTCCCAGCTGTAGGCCTGTTTATTGTTATGTTTAAAATGCCACGTTCTCTTTTATTTCCTGGGGTTCCATAATGGCTATATTAAAGATAGCTTTATTAAAATGTGTAAAATATTTTGGATGATGTTATAAATTAGCAATGAAATAATACCAGAAAGAAATTGATCAGTGAATCCAAATATATAGACAGTGTACAGAGTACAAATCTGATGACAGAGTAGGGACCCATTACTATAGACACTGTCAGTCTACATGGATCGACCTAACTCTGTGGGGACTCTTGCTGACTGCAATCAGCTTTAACATAATAACTTCCTCCTGGAGTTAAGCAGATTATTATATGAGTATGGTGGAAACAAGAGGAGGCGTGTCATTGCACAGGCATCGCAAAGTTGGTTCAGTCCACCTGGACCGATACTGTCTATATGGAAATGTGGTCTAAGAGGAAAAAGCACTTCAGATCAGTTTTAATTGGTCCCTAGATCATTGTTTTTTTTCTTTGTCTTTTTGTCGAGATAACCTTCTGGCTTCCTATCAATAATTAGTCTAAAATGTGATTATTCACTTCTGGAGTCATATTTATTGGGAAATCTGAAAAATGTATGTCTGTGGTTTGTTAGTGGCATCGATTTGTGCAGTACATGGTATCTATTTGATGCGTGTACATAGACTAACTATCTATTCGTTTTATACTTTTCAGATAAAATTTTCAAAGAAGTGGATGTTGCAGACAACAAGCATTTAACTAAGTGTGTAAAGGTATGTGTAGTTTTAACACATTTATAAAGAAGGTTATTTATTATGAAAGTACAGTGTTTAAGGAAAAAAAAAAAAAAAAAAAAAAAAAAAAAAAAAAACCCGACATACTTGACACAGCATGGTTATCATGCAAAACTAGAAAATATCATTGATTTGTGGTATGCCTTCTGTATTTCTTTGTTATTTGCCTGTTTTTTTTTCCTCAGCATTTTCGCAGACATATGACCCTATTCCTCTTTCCTTCCAATTTTCAAAACCTTAACCACAAACAACATCCAATTTTTGGTTGTTTATTGCAGTTTGGTTGACAATTGTTGTGTTTTAATATATAGAGGGGCAGAAGGGTAGAGATAGACTTGCTTAATCAACCAGTCTGATGGAAAAGAATGGGGTTAAGTGCTCTTAGAAATAGCCATGCTTGGTTTTAGGTCTTACTAAACTGAAGCATAAAAAGCCATGCATGCCTGCCTGGTAGTGCTTAAGCTAATCAGTCTGAAACAATAAACAATATTGATTATAAATTTATTCTTCATCTGATCCAGTTAACAGATCAGGTGCTTTGATCTTGAATGTATGAAAGAGAAATATATCTGCAAGTGATAGTAGTGAGTATTGATTATTTTGTAGCATTATCTTTGAATTATCAGATGATGAAACAAACTAATGCTTTGATCATGTCTGAAATATAAATATGTGATATTTTTGTTTATTAATGGTATTACTTATCAGATACAGACATAACAATATCACCATGATGCTCGATAAAAAGGCAAACAACAAACAGCACAAGCAACACAAAATCAGATAATAATTACATCACTGTCAAATCTTCTAATGCACAAATTGGAGTTCGGTAAAATAAACAAATGATCCCTGTGTAATCAGATCAATTAACTAAGCTTACAAATATGAACTCTAAAACACACATACAAATCAGGTTTTTCATTACTTTAAAGAAGCCAAACATTGTCTTTGTGTCCTACATTTCTGCCATCCATTAATTAATGAGATATCAATTAGACCTTAAAAACAAATATATGGCACTTAAAGTGTGGTTTGAAATAAACATCTATAATATGATATTTCATTATGTTTGATTGTCATACTCTTAATGATTGGCAGCTGATAATGATGATAACAGAAAAACAAACACAGAGGTAGAATGACAAGCAAAAATGGTTCATTAAAGGATAATAGCTCAAGTAGAGAGAAGCTAGTTTCAAAGTGCCATTCCTATTAAAATAACTGTATTAGCCTAATTGTCTCAGAAATATCATGTCTGTTAATTAGCCTTATAAATTAACTAGCTTAAACAAACATAAATCTCTTTTAATTAACTTGATAAGAACATTTATTAGTGAATTGCTTGCTGAAATCTAAAAAAAACTCTGTTTTTTAAATTAGATGGTTTAAAAGCACTGTTCCCCAAATTAGCTTATCTTTTAATTGGTCTTTGACTTTTCAGATCCCAAAACACAACCTCACTGGCTAACATATATAAATGTGTGTTTAGACCACAACTCTAGTGGACTGAAAATCAGCCTAAAATATGTCAGTTAATGGTCAGATTGTTGCAACATCCCAGATATGTTGGAGTTTTCATTCCCCATCCTGATGCCACATTTAGGGACAGTTTATGGTCTTGAATAGGCGAGGTCTGAATGCGGCTGAAGCCACCATGCACAGCTGCCCTCTTCTGTGCACAGAGTTAAGGTGTGGTGCATGGCTGTAGTTTTCTCTACCTGTAGTGTGTCCAAACATGTGGGTTCCTCCTCGCAGTTGGTGCCCACTCATGTCCATACACACTTATTTAATTAGTGTTGCTGTAGGGTGGTCAGTCCCTCTTGCTGTGAGCACATTAACACAGAGAGAGCATACCTCATATCTTATATGTACTAGTAGTGACCAATGCTGACCATGCAGTGTAGTGGTCAGTATTGACAGATCTGTACACTAGCACTGGTCAGAACCTTTGCTGTAATTATATGTGAACAAAGTGGTCATCAGCAGGGAACACATGAGGGAGAGAGAAAGAAAGAGGGAATACAATGTAGAAACTAGAGTGGACCAAGTATAATTAAAGGAAAGGTAAACATATATATTTCTACTACAAACTGCTTAAGCAAAAATCATGCACATATTACTGCCGCTGAAGGTAAAAAGGATAAAACCCAGCCAAGGGATTTTAGTATGGATAGAAAAAAATTAGGAAGAATATGTATATGTACTGTAGGTCTGTTGGGTGGAGTAGGGGGGGTGTAGGGGAAAGGAGGTTTCTTGGAAACTAAATGTTTTTTTTTTTTGTGTTCTGTGTCAGTACAGAATCACAGGTAGGTAAGTTTAAGTGGTAAAAGAAGTCTAATTTTTCAGAAATTGTAATTGCTGGTTTCAGACCTGACATGTACATTACATGAACTTTTATGCCAGCTCATCTTTATCATTTTCATAAGAATAAATTCTTGTATTTTTTTAATTTTCATTTTTATAAAAAGTGACGTTTGACCATTTGGCATGCACAGTTGCATGTTTGTTGAATATGTTTCGTATTGTCTCGTACACAAAAGGTTAAACGAGAGGAAAAAGATAAATATAGAATGAAGAGACCTTTTAAAGACAAGTACTATGTATCCATATGGTTGCTTACTCACACATTTACGGGTATTCAACTCATTTTCGATTATTGATTCACTATTGTTGTTGCTGTATTGTTTATTATATGGTAAACTTAAGTTATGGACATCTTGTAATCTGTCGTGTTGACAATGTGGCATCTACTTCTTGCCAAAATAATTTCTGATGAAAAACATTTGATACAAACTAATTTCAACATCTGTTGTATGCTGTCTGTTTTAGCAGCATCACTTGTTTGCATTCAAACTGATGAGGAATCAGAATTGGAAAAAATATTATTTTGCACTTGAAATTATACCAGGAATTTAATGAAAATTTTAGATGCTACCATACATGATCATAACTTTAGACTGCATTTCATTTTTGTATAATATATTGAATATAGTCAAGGGCATATACTTACTTGTATGTAATAATAATAAAGACCATTGGATTTCTGCTGGTATAGTTCTGAATAATACACACAAAAAGTAGAATAATGGAGATAATAGACTGTTCAAGTTGGATTATTAAGCTACCTGCATAGGAGTGTCGGGTGTGACATAAAGATGACGTACCATCACAAACCAGTGCTAACTGCACGTATTCAGTGCCAACATCGTTCTGTGAAGTTCAGACATGTTGTTTTTTTCAGATTTAAATAAAAAAATCCTCCTTTTTTCTCAGCAGTTTTCTACCTTTTCATGTGGTGCCCGATCTCCAGTTGTAAGGCCACTTTTTTTCCTCTTTATTTTGCTGACAACCCAAAACTGTGTCTGGATGTTACCTCATGAAAAGGGCAGTGCACAATGGATCTCTCACATTATCTGGATTGCAGAGTTGCACATAAAGACACTGACAGATCCAGGATTGAAGAAGAGGGGTATCAAATTATTATTTTTTTAACCCTCTCTTTCCATCTTCGATATTGAACATTTAAAAAAAAAAAACTTTTGGATTGTTTGTCATTTTTAAGTAGGTGAATTAGGATTTTGTGACCCACACTGAGACTTATCTTTCTTTTTGGGAGAAAGGGCCCTGGATCTGTCATTTTGTTTTTTCAATTCCTACCCCCCAAAAAAAAATTAATTAATTAATTAAAAAATAATAATAAAATCATCTATGAGCTGAATGGCTACATGTACTATAAGCTTGAAACTAATCACCGAGTCAAACTTAAGGCAAGTCTAATATTGTTAACGTAAGTAGAAAAACAAAAGCTTGTTTTGGCTATTTCCCTTATATAAAATAAATAATGACAGTAGTAGAGTAAAATCTACATCAGAGTTCTGCAGTTTTGATCCAGTTAATTGGCTACTTCATGAAGTTAGGATCACTTATTATAAACAATCAAGATTGTGGTTGACTGTCTAAGTAGAACTCAGATATTTAAATCTGACGCAACATGAACGACTGTTCTTTTTGCATAAAACTCATTTGACATGAAAGCTTATGAGACAGGCAATATGCTTGCTATGACAACTCAAATTGTTTTATAATGAAGTCACGAAAGTTCTGGCAACATATAACCTATCCTAGTGGGTAAACACATCTGAATATTAAGTTAGTCTTTGCATTAAAGTAACATATGTATTGAAAAATATGTTGGAAATTTAAAATAATGTAAAGATTATATTGTTCATCTTGGTTTTAATATGCTCAGTTTTTTTGTTAAAATAATCTTCCAGGGTAACTTTGCTGAACTGCTTCTATTAAGTTAAAAGCACTGCAAGTGCTGCAAAGATAATTGAAAATCCCATTAAACATTTCTTGACTGACATTGGAGAGAGTGAGGCAGATGCCTTCCTAAAGATATTATGTTCATAGTTTTAGTCAGTATGATTGTAATCTTTGTGACAATAGCTAGCACTAGTATTGGGTTATTTTGTTTCAAAGAAGTGCAGTTTTGTGTTAAATTTTCATACAGTGCTCACTTTATATGTTGTGTATATTAAATTCAGTCAAACTAGGCATAAATAAATAAATAATTAGATTGAGAGTATAAAGCAATGTAAACTGAATAATGTACAAAATCTTGGTCAAATATGGCATAATTGTTAGCTTCAAAAACTTTCTTATAGTCAAATGAAAAAATTGAGCCAAATCAATTTGAAAAGCATCACTCGAGATCTCTCTCTAAGTCAACAGCAAGAAAAACTTCTAATATACATGTGGCAAAAGAATTACAAAGGTCTTTAAACAAAGGTAAATTTGTTACATGTATAACAGCATCAAATTTTATGCTGAAAATTCTACATGTATCACTAGCAGATTTTATTATAAAAACATACATAAATACAATGGATATTATTGTAAAACATGATTCTACTAGGCTTAAATGTTTAGTTTGTTACTCGGCCAATGACCACTGTTAAGTGCAACCTTGTTAA